AGCTGAATTACATATCTAATGGTCAGAAGGTAGGGAAGAAATTTGGCAGAATATCAGAGAGTCATTCAACATAAATAGAATTTACGGGAAACCAAAGACTCTACATAAATCTGTAGCTAACATCATGAATACTGGAGTCGCCACTAACCAGCAGCAAGCATGCCCCATGTAATTTTTCTTGCCACAAAACACAAAAATATTGGAACTATATGCAAAGGTCTTTTCACAGTACTGACTACAAAGATCTGCCCTCTGCAAATACACACTCACATATATATGCTGGAATTAGTAGATGAATTAAATCCTCTAGCAATATCAAAGAATGGATGTTGATGTCTCTAACAGTAGCCAAGCATGTTATGTCCTTATTTATCAAATGGAAACGTAACACCAAAAGGTGTTAATGGTACCAGCAAGCATGCTTTTGATATCTAGACTATCACAGACACCGTTAAAGTTAGTTAGGGAGACTAGATGTCCTGATTTTATAGGGGCAGTCCTGATTTTTAGATCTTTTTCTTATATAGGCTCCTATTACCCCTCACCCCCATCCCGATTTCTCACACTTGCTGTCTGGTCACCCTAAAGCTGATAGGCATGCAAAATGGAAAAAAGCAATTAAGATCCTTTATGGAGTAAGATAGGTGAAACAACAGAAGCCACTGGCCAAGGCACTGGGCTTCATGGGAACATCTGAGCAATAACTTTAGGGAAACAGGACTTTGTGTACATGCTTTGTAAAATAAACAGGACTGCACCAAAGAAATAATAGACACATACAATTATTTTCTCCTTCTACTGGAAACAACCTGGAAACTTTGGTGAAACCTATTGGGCAAAGGGGCAACACATCTCTAATGTATTCACAATGCTTTAAAAAATTGCTAAGTGTACCTGGAATACAGAAAATCAATGTACATACATAATAAAAAGGGAAAAATGCATTAAGGAATTAATTGTTCATCTCTTAATCACATTGATAGGCACTTAGTCATGCAAGTAGTTTTACTTAAATCACTAAGGTGTAAGGGTTGCACAATTGAAGTCTTGTGGATTCACCGTATGCAACTGTGATAACACTGTATAGGGTTGTGAAAGAGAATGTTTTTTTATAATCTTACTACAAAAAGCAGTATTATATACCGTTGTAAATAACATGTAAACTGATCTTGTGATCCTGAGTTGGACATTTCCTGGGATGGGAGTGGGGGTAGAGGGAAAATCAGGGGAGTTGGAATGTAAAAGAAAAATATATATATAAAAGCAAAAAACAGAATAGATACATACATGATTACATTCCTTTCTCCTGATGCTGGGATAACAACGGAGGTATTAATTCAGAGCTATGTGCCCACAGAAGGGAATAAAAATACTTTTTCCTCCTAGATGGATTACCTGGATCTTGGATCTGGCGATAGAGAATAAGTGGGCCAACTCATGTCCACTTACTCCCTCTCTAGAGCAAGTGGGCAAAGAGGGGCAAACAATGAGCAGAGCTCATGGCTCCACCCCATAACTGACTAACCCAAGTAGCTGAGCCGGGGATGAGGGGCGTGAGGAAGAAAAGACAGTAAATTTAAAGCTGATATAGCCCAGCTGCAAATTATTCTCCCCACGCCCCCAGAAACAAGGGGGAAGCAGAGAAGGAGCTGTGTCTCAGAGGTACCCCTCTGAATTACAGAGGCTCCTGTGGCTTCTCTTAGGATAGTGAATGTGCCACCCATTGCTCAGGGCTATGCTTAAAATTGTAATATAGACCTTAAGAAGCTTGTTCGTTGCATTATAATTGTCATTTATCTTTGTACTTTCCTTGGAAACAAAGCAATCAAATAAAATTAAAGACAAGTTGAACATATTTGATCATCCAATTAAATATATATAGCTATATAATTTAAATATAACCCCACCCTCCAACCATTCAGATACAATTAAACAGACTTATTTAATTCTTATTCCATTGCCTTAAAGTTTGCTTAAGCATTTGCCTACCATATAACCTGAGATTTTTAATAAGGATATTAACACTCAGCAAATCTAGTCAGATTGCAATGCATTCACTGCAGTGCATGAATTTTGTCTCCTTTCCCCTCTACAAGTAGTAATTGTATTTTTCACAAGTGAAATTCTAGTAGGGCTTATCCCCCATAACAAATTGTCACCCAACTATTGGTTAATGTGTGAGCATCAGGAGAAGCAGAATGCGATACACAATATTGCAGCTGTTCCTGCCAACCTTCTTTCTAAAAGTATCCATTCATGGTGGTGGATTTTTTTCCTCAAATGACTTAGTATGTAAACAAAATACTATAAGTAGAAATTATAAACTGTAAATAATTTTTGTTTTAATATATGAAAAGACCCTGAGAGATATGGCAAGACTTCTGCCACTTGGCTGACATCCCTTGTAGGAATGCTCAAAGATGTCAAAGCTTAGACCAGAGCTTCAGATAAATGACAAATGTACATAACATGTGAAACTGAAAAGTACTGATAATGCTGTTGGACTTGAAACTATATATTTAAATACTAAATCTTACATTAACATCAAGATTACAAATTAAGGCTCCAACCCTGCCGTGAGATGTGCTAGTGTGGACTCCTATGCCAGTGAGCAAGCAATGCAACTCTAAATGTGCTCAGGGGTCCATGCTAGCAGATGCTGACTCAAGATCTGGGTCTAAAATAATCAAAAATAAAGAAATACAAAAGTTAAGGTTCTAATAATGGAGCCAACATTTACATTTCGGTGCCTAAAGAGAGAGAGATAAATCTGTATTTAGGTACCTCAGTATTCATTTAAGAGTGATGATTCAGGTGTTCATATACCTGCTTTTTTAGGTACTTGAATTGAGTGGTTTCCTGGATTGGACCTTTATGCAGGTACACAGATTTAGACATAAATCCTTTACTTAGAAGAGTAGTTACACTGAAGTGAATAAATGTTTACAGGATCAGGGACTTGGATTCTAAAGTTAAAGCACCAAGGTTTAATTTGAAAAGTGGGCCCAATATTAGTAACTTGAGTATTTTCACATAACAACTTGTTTGTAGGATGAGGCTGATAGAGCAAACTACTGTAATTTGGAGAACTTCAGGTATTATGCTTGTGAGTGTGGGTATGTTTAAAGTCCATATTGCAGTATATATTTTACAATAAAGGGGAAAATGTGAGGAATGTTTGACTCCAACCACCCAAGTATTCCAGATCAACCACAGTTTGACTGTATCTACATTATCAAATCCCAATCCATGTTAGTTAAATTTCAGCCAGTACTGGTTGAGGTTGTTTGCACACCAGGTACATCAGCTCACATATTCCCACCAAGCCAGCCCCAGGACATCTTTAGCAAGCAGGAAGTAGGAGCTTTTTTTGTTTTGTTTTATTTTTGTCAAACACCACCTTCTAAGCAAACCAGCACCAGTTGGTTCATTCCTATCTCCTGTCAACTCCTTCGTGAAGCTAATCCTGAAGAATTGCTCAGCTCTTCATTAGAGTCCAGTAAAGTAAACTACTATTTTCTGGACAAAATAGTACATTTTCCCAAAAGAAACTTCAGATAAAGGAGAGCTTTGTTAAGCTTTAAAATGTCGTTATGTCCCTTGTACTCTACACCTCTCTAACAAAGGTCCTTAGGTCTTACTATACTTATCAGCCTTACATAATACTGAAAAAATATGGACATGCACATATGGATATGTGTGATACAGAAGAACAAATTTATTATTTTAACATAAGCGCCTTTATCATTGCCAAAGTCTGCAAACAGAATACAAATATGTATTTCAGTACAGAGTGAGACATCAGGACAGAGGGGCTCGTTACACTGAAAGAGAAATCACATATGTTTTGTTCGTTTGTTTTGAATGTAAAAAACAAATAACATTTTAATAGGGTAAAATACAAAAGCAGGCAATGAACACTTCTAGGGCTACTTAAATTTCTGTATTAGATTTCTACTGATTTATTTCAAATACAGAGACACAAATAAAACAAAATATTTTGAAGTTTACATTACTGATTCTGTGGATGAGCTAGTGTACATCAACCAATCCGACTGCTGAAGTCAGTGGGACTTTGCAGATGCACATAGGTTGGAGTTAGCTAATTCTAAATCAGACTCAGTGCTTAAGATTCATAGATTCATAGAATTTAAGGCCAAAATGAACCATTAGATCACCTAGTCTCACCTCCTGTATATTCCAGGACATTACATTTCACCAAATTACCCCTGCATTGAGCCCAGAATTTGTGTTTGGCTAAAGCATGTTCCAGAAAGGCATGCAGCTTTTATTTGAAGACATCAAAAATGGGGAATCCCCCACTTCCCATGGGATAGTTTGTTCCAATGGGTAATCACCCTCACTTGTTAAAGAATTGTGACACTTCTACTTTGAATTTATGTGACTTCAGTTTCCAGTAATTGGTTCTCGTTATGCCTTTTTCGGCTTGATTAAAGAGCCCTTTAGTACCTGGTATTTTCAACTTGTGAAGGTACAGCTACACTGCAATAAAGTCACCTCTCTAGCTTCTTTTTGATAAACTAAACAGATAGGAACTTCCTCTCTTTCATAAAAATAGACTCCAAATGTCCATGAACTAAACCCACATGCTAAAAGTTCATGAGTAAAATACAAGAGAGGATGGTTAAGAGCAATCAAACTATATTCAGAGAAGTAAGTAGCACGCTATCACCACAGACTTTTGAAAACACATGGTTTCATAACTGCACTTACCAACTACTTTGATGTCTGTGCACTATTGAGAGATTAGAGTATGGTTACTGAAGAGCTTTGTTTAGCATAAATCAATTTAAGGATCAATATTTCCCTGCCAAGAGTTAGATTCAGCCACAGTCCTTCGCCTGTGAAATCATTTATGCCAGTGCTAAATGAGTCTGAAACTGTGCTATTTGTTTGGTATCATTTTCAACCACTACACTGAGGTATGAGGTACCAGGCAATGGAGTATTGGGCCCTTGGAATAAAGTCAAGGTACTCACCACTTAGTTTAGGACTCGGTGTTCCCAAAGCTGGTCTAGGGTCTTTCACCAATATTTTTGATCCAGCTGTTGGAAAGAACAACAAAAAGATGGACAACAAGTAACCATCTGAAGACATTCAGTGGGACATGTGTTCTTAAATCACTTAGGCTTTTAAAATTCTATTAATTCCTTAGCACACAGTACCACCTTAAAGAGGCTGGGATGTACATTTATATCACCAAAGAGGGAAAAAAAACACATATACATCAGAGAATGTTCAGAGATCTTCAGTAGACAAACAGGATGTATTTGCACAATACAATTTAAAATTCAATATAGGGACTAATCAAATTCCTTGAATTAGTCAAATGGAATTATCTCCTTCCAACTTGAACCTGATTCATGCTAACTGTCTTTTACGTGATGGCACTGCCCAAAAGTTCTGGTTTTCTGGAATGAAGCGTTGAATCCAAAAATCTTGTATTGGAAACAGACCTTCTGTACAATGGACACATGGATCTTTATTACTGAGATTCCTTTTATATCTTTGATCTCCCTTAGACAGATGAAAAGGACTCAATTCTTTGTTCCTTTTAAGTCAATGATTCAGTCATTTTTGAAAAAAACTATTTTCATTTCCATCAGGAGGAACAAGAGAACATAGTGCTTTTCTTCTAACTACTTCCCCTGGTGGGAGGAACATGGCTTTTTCATCTTTCTCTCTGTAATAGGTAAAATCAGAAAGGTCCCTCAGGGTATGGTATATTTCATTCTAATAAGAGTTAATAATTTTGAAGACATTGCTCCTTTTTCTCATCTTCCTGTAATACTGAACAGCGAGAAGTGAGAAGCTTAGTTTTAACCACTTTTTGACCCATTAATTTGTTTTACAATTGCCAAGATTTGGAAAAAAAAGATCAATCAAATGTTCCAGGTGAAAGCAAAGAAGCAAGAAGATAAACTGTCAATGTTTCATCTCCTGCCTTTTAAAGGATATTGAAGTTGTTAGTAGACCTCTCTTACACCCTCTGACGAGGAGTGGCTTATTGCTTAGGGGCACAGATTCTGGTTTGCTGTGTAAACGGGGGTGCCGTTCTGATTTTTTAAGTTCAGGTACTCCACCCCCATTACCTTATTTTGTATAAAGCGTAGATAAAAGGAGCTGGGAGGACACAGAATCCTATCCCCCCAAACTGGAGAGAGGGCATGGCTGCTAGAAAGATTATGGCCTTTAATATCACCTGTATTCCTTTCTGCCACCTTATGCAGAGCTGTGGCTCAGTGGATCCACAGAATGTGTATCCCCAAGGACCATGCCCCTGCCAATACTAGAGACAACCATGCACTCCCACAGAGAAAGATGGCATTGAGCTTGTCTCTGTAGTGAACCCTAATTCTAACCCTAACCCAGCCCCAGCAGGAAGTAAAATTCTAACCCTAACCCAGCCCCAGCAGGAAGTAAAAACAACTACTGTTGTTTATTTTGAAAACAGCAGAAGAAATTTCTTGGAACAATTTCCAATTACCCTGAAGGGTCCTTAATTACAAAGAAAAGTATCAACACATTTCAAATATGGGTAGAGGTATTCAATTCAAACAGGCAGTACCCTGAAGTAAAACAATAGAAACACTGGAAAAGAAGAACACACCAAGGTTACAAGGAGGTTTTTTTCACACAAAGATAATATTTGTTTAACGCCACACTTTTTATCTGGAATACCTTGATAATATTTTCTATTAAGCTGTGTAATAGAGCTCAGTGAAAATTGGAATTTCCATCCTTTGGGAAACTGTGATATTTCAACAGATCAGGACAAAAAGTTGAAATATCAAAAACGTTCATGGAACAAAAAGTTCAGAATTTTTTAATTGTGACATGGCAAAATATTTCATTTTGGAATTTTTGACCAAAACAAAACATTTAAATAGTCTCAATTTGAAATGTTTAATTTCAATGTGTGGTACTGACCCAAATCATTTAGTTTTGAGTTTGTTCAATATTAAACTACTTTTCCCTGTGATGGCATATTGTCTCGTGGGAACTGCAATTTGGGTATCTAATGCCACCATTCTCCCCTATGGTCAGGCTCCCTGACCAGACTACATCTTCCATGATGCGTCCATAGCCATGTCACTTTCATGATGTGCTACACTGCTCGACTGGAGGGAAGACGCCACCTGAACAACACAAAAGGGATGTAATCTGGCTGCAACTGGCCAGCCCATGGAGCTGGTTCCTACGTTAATCCCCCTTGGTATAAGGAAGCAAGATAGGATGGTCAGATTTCACTATCGTACAGAATTTCTTTATTATGCTTTGTAAATATCAAAGAATTAAAGGGTTAGGTCTTCAGCTTCAATTGTTCTTCATGTTGTTCACTTAAATTCTGAATTTAAATGCAGGCTAAATTTTCATGTTCATTTCTCAACATGCCATCTTTTTCTTCTTATATGGAAAGCACATGCTCCCAAACATTGTCCTGTACAGTAAGTTTTATAATCCCAGAAAACCCAACATCAGCTCTGCATATCAGTGAGTTCTGCAGTTTTGGAAGGCACATACTTATGGTAATATTGACTGAAGTGAGAGTGGATCCTCTAGGCTTGCACATCTGGAGTTCTAATTGATATAACATGTACACAAGACTATTGTACAATCCATATGTCTTGTATATGGATATAGGGTACAATTTTCAAAACAGCCCAAGTGACTCAGGAGTCTGAATCCCATTTTCAAAAAGGACTTAGGGACCTAAGTCTTAATGAAAATCACTAGGATGTATGTGCTAAGTCAAGTGGGTCTTTTGAATACTTTACCCACAAATATATAATGCTATTATAAGAAATATAGAAAAAGACAAAGTAATATACAGATTTTAAAGACATGTATTTATATGATATATTGTTACTAAATAGCAAGTAAGGGAAAATTTAAAGTTTAATATTTGAAAGTCAGAGGGCGGGGTGGGGGAGCAGAAGGGGTTACCTTCACAAACTGGAACTTTTCCAGTCCATGTGCCATCAGATCTACAGACTCTGTGTTCTGATCCTCCTGCTAGGAAGAAGCCTGACTGACAGGTATAAATCAATGTATAGCCAAGTGAAGGAAGATCCATTCCAGCCACATTAGCGTGAACTGGAGTCTCTGGTTGTTTACAGCTGTGTGCTACAAAGAAACTGTACGTTACTTTTTAGTTGAAATAGTAAAAATATTTCAGAAAAAAACAACCTCAAACATTTTGACAGGTAGTTAATTAAACAAAATGTATTAGCAACAATTACTTATACGTATATGTTCTTTCTCATCTGAGAGCTCACTAAGCACTTCACAGTTTTATAAACTCTGGGCCCAATCCTGTAAGCAGATCTATGAGGTAAACCTTTAATTCTGTGGGACAGCCCACTGAGTTCGAGAGTCCACCTTTGCAGATTTTCTGGAAGGCCCAAACACCATATATATGTATTGATTGCCTTACACAGCAGTAACAGGCAACCACCCATTGTATGAATTGCAATAATTGCTTAATACCAAGCAGCAACTAAATAAGAGTTTAGAACAGGAAATGAAGAAAAATGGTTACTAACCTGTTCTGAAACAATTGTTCTTTGAAATATATTGCACGTGTCCTTTCCACTTCAGCTGTTTGCATGCCCTAGCCTCTGAGATTTTCCCTCAGTGGTACCAATCAGGGTAACACATTCACCCGCTGCTGCATAGTGCTACTGTGCAATGGTATGAAAGGCAGAGCCGTTCACACACCCCCTCTGCTTCTTTTTACTAGATAGATTCTGATATAGAGGCATAGGAGGGTGGGTTGTGAAATGGACTTGTGCAACACATCTCACAGAACAACAGTTACAAAACAGGTTAGTAACCATTTTTAATACTTTGCGTGATTGCATGTCATTCCTTTTCAGGAAACTTACAAACAGTTCAATCTGGAGATGGTAGAAGAGTCTGAATAATGACTGAAGGACTACCTGTCCTCCAGACTGTTGAGCGGTGGCATAATGAAAAGTAAAAGTATGTACTGAACACCAAGGGCTGGTCTACACTAACCCCCCAATTCGAACTAAGATACGCAACTTCAGCTACGTGAATAATGTAGCTGAAGTCGACGTACCTTAGTTCAAACTTACCGTGGTCCAGACGTGGCAGGCAGGCTCCCCCATCGACTCTGTGTACTCCTCTCGCCGAGCAGGAGTACCGGAGTCGATGGCGAGCACTTCTGGGTTCGATTTATCGCGTCCAGACAAGACGCGATAAATTGAACCCAGAAGTTCGATTGCTTGCCGCCGAACCAGCGGGTAAGTATAGACGTACCCCAAGTTACAGCTCTATAAATATCCAGAATAGGCTCTTGAGCTAGAAAGGCTGCAGACGCTATGTGTGATCTTGCTGAATGTGCTAGCACCCTGTTTGGTGGAGTTACATAGAATGGGAGACACTTCATCCTGTCTGCAATTTCCATTAACAGTTGGGAGGGAGACTGAAACAGTTTAATCCTATCCAAGTTAAAGTCTAATGCTCTCCTAGCATCCAATGCATGGAGTCTCTCCTCATCCTTATGAGCATGAGGCTTAGAGAAGAAAGTTGGTAAGTATATTGCCTGATTGATTTGGAAATGAGAAATCACTTTGGTGAGAAATTTGGATGAAAACGGAGATATATCTTTTCCATGTAGTGGGGCAAATACCAGGTCTCTCAATTCTCCTACCCTCTTTGCAGAGGTAATTGCTACCAAAAAAGCTAACTTAATTGACAGATGAAGTAACAAACTGGTAGACAGTGGTTCAAAGGGTGGACCCGTTAGTGTTGCTAACACCATAAGAATATAAGAACGGCCATACTGGGTCAGACCAAAGGTCCATCCAGCCAAGTATCCTGTCTACCGACAGTGGCCAATGCCAGGTGCCTCAGAGGGAGTGAACCTAACAGGTAATGATCAAGTGATCTCTCTCCTGCCATCCATCTCCACCCTCTGACAAACAGAGGCTATAGACACCATTCCTTACCCATCCAGGTTTAAGTACCAAGGAATAATGGGGTCATCTACTTGGGGAGATAACCAGTCCAGAGCCTTCAAAAAATGGAGTGAGTGACATGGGACTGGAGAAAAGGAAGCAACTACCAGTCGGAGGGTGGAAAGCAGAGATAGCTGCTAAGTGCACCCTGATGGAAACTTCAGATATAGCATGTGTTGTATTGGATCTTGGAGGGGAGAATTACCTTTTAGTTGATACCAGAGAGAGAATCTTTTACACTTCAAGTGGAAGTGTATCTAGTAAAAAGTTTTCTGCTGTTCAAGAGGGCATTTTGCACATCACTTGAACAGATCTCCTACTGAAGTGTTAACCATGGAGAATCCAGGCTACCAGGTGAAGGATCTCTGGGTAGAGATGAACGAGGTAACCGTGATTCTGAGAGATTGGATCCAGGTTGGTGATAGTGTCAATGAAGCCCTGGTAGACAGGGTCAGTAGCATGGAAAACCAATGCTGGTAAGGTCACGCCAGTGCAAGGAGTATTATGTGAGCATGGTCATATTTAATTTTTAACAACACCCTAGGTAGGAGTGGAACCAGAAGGTACAAATACATTAGATTGTCTTTCCAGGACAACAGGAAAGCATCCATCAGAGACCCTGAACTGTGACTTGCCCGTGAACAAAACTGATGACACTCCCTGTTTGGTCAGGTTGCCAATAGGTTTATCTGGGGAACACTCCAGACTTGAAAAATGTGTCTGATGGAGAGATCACTTGTGGTCACTGGTGAATGATCTGCTCAATCCATCTGCAAGAATGTTCGGGACACCCGGAAGATAGAGAGTTTGAGTTGGTGATGCAAAACTCCCAAAGGAATATTGCTTCTTGGCATAGAAGCAACAATCTGACCTCTCCGTGTCTATTCACCTAGGACATCACCACCCTGTTGTCCATAACAACTAGTAAACTCCTTCCTTTGATTTGGGTGAGGAAAGTGTAATAAGCCAGACAAATGGCTCTCGGCGCTCAACTCTTACATTTATATGGAGAGCTAAAAACTGGCCAGACTTGAGTTTGCAGAGTTCCCAGGTGGGCTCCCCAACCCAGGGAAAAAATGTCTGTAACCAGAGTTGAAGAAGATTGTGGGAGAGGAACTCCCACATATACATTGGATGGGACCATCCACCAGTTCAAAGAGGCTAAGACTTCTGTGGGCATCCAAACCACTATGTCTAGGGGATGATGCATCAGGGAGTACAACAAGCCCAGCAAGTTCTGCAGCTTTCTGAAATCTACTGGCATGCCCGGATGATTAGTTTACCTGCAGCATCCTCAGGTTCGGCTGATAGCAGCTCCCACTGGCCGCAGTTCGCTGTTCCAGGCCAATGGGGGCTGCGGGAAGCGGCGTGGGCTGAGGGATGTGCTGGCTGCCACTTCCCGCAGCCCCCATTGGCCTGGAACGGCGAACTGCGGCCAGTGGGAGCTGCGATCAGCCGAACCTGAGGATGCTGCAGGTAAACAAATTGTTCCGGCATGCCAGCAGATTTCCCTGATGGGCTGCGTGCCAAAGGTTGCCGATCCCTGGTCTAATGAGATGTCTAACATTGTCTGGAACCTGGTTTGTGCAAGGAACACCCTGCCTTCTTTAGAATCCAATATTGCTCCTATGAACTTTATTCTCTGAAGAAGTGAGAGGACTGACTTTCCCTTGTTGGTAAGCAATCCCAATATGCCAAAGGTGGATTGGATCTTCGCCACACTGGATATCACCTGGTTCTTGGATTGTCCTCTCGCCAACCAGTGGTCCATATACTCAAAGACTTGAATTCCTGATTTCCTCAAGAACATAGCCACCATTGCCATTCATTTTGTAAAATATGTGGAGCTGTGGACAGGCCAAATAGCAAGATTGCAAACTGATAGTGGGATTGGTTGACCATAAATCTGAGGAATTTCCTGTTGTTTTGATGTATTGCCACAGGGAAATATGCATCCTTTATTAGGGTAGTGTGCCAGTAGCCAGGATGCAGGGAGGGGATAATGGAAGTCAGAGTGCCCATGTGAAACTTTATTTGATGCATGTATTTGTTCAGCTAGTATGGGTCTGAGACCTCCTTTTACTTTTGGAATTAGGAAGTAACGAGAATATAATCTCTTCCCTCTGTGTAAAATAACTTCCTCTATAGATCCCAACAGGAGAAAAGATTCTACCTCCCAAATATCAGGGGGTAGCCGTGTTAGTCTGTATCTACAAAAACAACAAGGAGTCTGGTGGCACCTTAAAGACTAACAGATTTATTTGGGCATAAGCTTTCGTGGGTAAAAACCTCACTTCTTCGGATGCATAGAGTGAAAGTTACAGATGCAGGCATTATATACTGACGCATGGAGAGCAGGGAGTTACTTTGCAAGTGGAGAACCAGTGTTGACAGGGCCAATTCAATCAGGGTGGTTGTAGTCCACTCCCAATAATGGATGAGGAGGTGTCAATTCCAGGAGAGGAAAAGCTGCTTCTGTAATGAGCCAGCCACTCCCAGTCCCTATTCAAGCCCAGATTAATGGTGTTAAATTTGCAAATGAATTTTAGTTCTGCTGTTTCTCTTGGAAGTCTGTTTCTGAAGTTTTTTTGTTCAATGATAGTGACTTTTAAATCTGTAATAGAATGACCAGGGACATTGAAGTGTTCACTTACTGGCTTATGTATGTTACTATTCCTGATGTCCGATTTGTGTCCATTTATTCTTTTGCGGAGGGACTGTCCGGTTTGGCCAATGTACATGGCAGAGGGGCATTGCTGGCACATGATGGCATATATAACATTAGTGGATGTGCAGGTGAATGAGCCCTTGATGGTGTGGCTGATGTGGTTGGGTCCTCTGATGGTGTCGCCAGAGTAGATATGGGGACAGAGTAGGCAACGAGCTTTGCAACAGGGATTGGTTCCTGGGTTGGTGTTTCTGTGGTGTGGTGTGTAGTTGCTGGTGAGTATTTGCTTCAGGTTGGGGGGTTGTCTGTAAGTGAGGACTGGCCTGCCTCCCAAGGTCTGTGAGAGTGAAGGAGCAAGAGGCACAAGGAGCTGAGAGTGAGAGGGTGTGCTGCTGGAGGACTGAGGAGCACAAGCGTTATCAGACACCAGGAGGAAGGTCCTGTGGTGAGAATAAGGAAGGTGTTTGGAGGAGGCCATGGGGAAGTAGCCCAGGGAGTTGTAGCTGTTATGCAGCTGTTACAGGAGGCACTATAGACAGCTGCAGTCCACAGGGCCCTGGGCTGGAACCTGGAGTAGAGGACGGGCCCGGGTTCCCCCCAAACCTCCCAATTGACCTGGACTGTGGGTTCTTCCAGAGGGGAAGGTCTCTGGACTGTTCGCCAACCCACATGGTGAATCTCTGAGGCAAGAAAATCCGCCAATAAGCGCAGGACCCACCAAGATAGAGGAGGAACTTTGTCACAGTAGGTAGAACTCTCCGATAACCGTCACAGGCAGTAAGAAGGAATTGAAAGAGGTTGGGGATGACTCTGCCCTTCATACCATCACGCAGCAGCTTGAGACAGGACAGGGAGCATGCTAAGGGGTAAATCCCTGTTGCTAGTACACGGTGTGCACAAACACCCACAGTGGAATGGACATGTGCAATCACTCAAAGAAAAATAATGTGTCACTCTGAAGTTACAAGGAGTGATTTTAGGTATAACAGACTGTAATTATCAAGGGTAGAAATTACCCAGAATGACCCTTAATAAACCTACTTGTGAGAAAAACATCTTGGTACAGGTGTCTGAGACATTAGTTTTACACTACATCCAAAACATGGCACCTTCAAAAGAAGAGTGTCACATTTCATCACAGTTGAGCACTGAGTCATCACTCAGAGGGAAGAGTGTCACCTACTGAATCACTAACACAACGTCACAGAGCAACCTTGTGTGCTCCCATCCATGTAATGAGCAGTTCTCATCCTGTTTATCTTATGTCATGAGTTACGACATATCTTATGACCATCCCAGGTGGCATGTCTTCAGGCTGTTTGTAGAACTGGAAGGCATTACTTGTGACATTACAGTATCAATGAATCAGCACTACAAGACAGTAGTTTGCATAAGTCTCTTAAAATGGATATAAGCTTTCGTGGGCTTATGTTAGTCTCTAAGGTGCCACAAGTACTCCTGTTCTTTTTGCGGATACAGACTAACACGGCTGCTACTCTGAAACCTGTTAAAATAGATAGTCGCCTAGGAGTGAAACAGCTTCCCTGCTTTAGAAAGAACTTCCTCTCTGTTTCAGATATGACTAATTACTGTTACCTTAACAAATTACCACACTGCCCTTTTTCAAAGTATCAGCAGTGGGTACTAGGAAAGCAGTTCAAACAACTTGTTATTATTAATACTGGAACATATGCTTTGAAACGTCAGACTAAACCTGGTGGCCTTTATATTCCACTTGGAAGGAGTGCAGAAGGGGTTACTCCCTGATTCAGGGCTGCCCATCCTCAGTGCAATTTAGGGCTGCACAGAGTTTTACCATGACCCCTTTCCTTTCCCCCTACCCTTCCTGCAGCCCCCCTCTTATCCCCACTCTTTTATCTGATAAAGTCGCATTGAATCCAATCAACTATAAACAATAATAAATGAAGCTTGGGTTTTCCTATTTCTATAACGGCTTGTAGAACTGTGAAAGATTAAAATCACATGAATATGGATAAATTGGGTAAAATGTGATTTTAATCTTTCACAGTTCTACAAGCCGTTATAGAAATAGAAAAAACAAAACTTAGTTTATTATTGTTCACTACTTTTCAACAATATAGTACATGTAAGTTAATTAATGAAACCTATCATGGGAAACTATTTCCATCCAAGACTAACAGAAAAATATTTATCCCCTCCACCCATTACTTACGTATACATTCTGGCTGAATCCCACTCCACGTAAGATCAGGGAGGCAAGTTCGGGTTGTAGATCCTTGGAGAAGGTGTCCTTTTTTACATTGAAATTGAACAACATTTCCCACCTATTGAAACAGTGAAAGTACAATGATGTTATCACAAAGAAATATCAATTGTTCCCAATCAATAGGGAAAACTCCTACACAGAATTCAGGATGGATAAGCTGAGCCATGAGGTCCTTTCAAAAGCTGGGCAGAAAAAGGGAATTCCATTCTGTGGAGGATTTGGTACTTTGGAACAAAACCCCAAAATTTCAGAAATCTCAGTGAAAGGGAATGAAGCCCTAACTCTGGGACAGTCTACGAGATGGGCTGCCCTGGAGCCAAGAATCTTGGAAGCCCTGGAAGCTCTGTCTGCCAAAGGGCTGTGAGCCTGGGACCCCAGACTACCAAGGAGTCACAAACCTGGGAGCCAGGCCTTCCAGGCTCTCATCTCCTTGTCACATTGTTAGGGGCTACCATGGACTTGGGTCTCATAGACTCATAGACTTTAAGGTCAGAAGGGACCATTATGATCATCTAGTCTGACCTCCTGCATGATGCAGGCCACAAAAGCTGACCCACCCACTCCTGGAATAATTCTCTCCCTTGACTCAGCTGTTGAAGTCCCCAAATCATGATTTAAAGACTTCAAGTCGCAGATGTTCTGGCAGGAAATCAGGCAAGTTTTGAAACCTTTGTGGCAGTGAGTTTCATTGGAACTTCTTTGAAATTGAACCATCTTGTCAAATGTTTCTGTTGTAAGGGATCAGCAAATTCTGATGAAAAATGTTTTACTGGAATTTCTCAGACCAGCTCTAGTTCCTTCCGACTCAAGCCTGTATGGTTCTAGGATTTCCTTTTAACTTTGAGCCCTATGGTGTTTAACTTTACTTTCTCACTACAAGAGGAGAACATCAATCAGTATGCTTAATAGATAACAGAACGTGAGTACATGAAAATCCTCACTCTTAACTCCTTTGAGCACATCATTTTTTTATGCTTGGAATGGATAATTTGAAAAAAAGAAAAGAAAAGAAAGGAAAGAATTATTTGCAAATGAACTAAAAATAGTGTCTGAATGATTTGGCGTATAATTGCTTTTGAATACAGTAAGTACGGGGCCATTTATTATAGACTGAGAATTGTTAACTCATTTACACTAGTGTTTATACATCTTTAGATATAGAAGTCATAGGTCAAATGTGCCATCTAGTGAGCTGTGTATCTTTTGATGCATGTTTCAAGGAGAGGTTGTTGAGTTTGTACTAACTTTTCATAGCACAATGCATTTACATTTTTTTTTAAAATTTAGATTAAGTTTAAAAGGCTTGATAAAAGTTCTTGATCCCCAAAATATGCACATCTTTCATAACAGCTGAATCTCGTTAAACATTGTGCTTCACTGCTATAAATAATTATTTAAAACTTTATAGTAAAATTCCATTTCAGCTCAGTACTCTCATCATGGTGAAATGTAATAATAACCCATGAGCTATGCATAGTACCTGTATGTGAATTAAAATTGAAATTATTTTTCTTTACAACATCCACTGGACTATATAATTACTTTAAAGAGATCAGTTTTGGAGGACATGCAGCAAATCAGGTTTTCATGATGAAATACATACTAGGAAAACACTATTGACAGTTATTGAAGTTGCATTGAATTGCAATACTAGTGCTCTTTTATCTGATAAAGTAGCATTGAATCCAATCAACTATACTAGATTGTCTGGCAATACACGTTACTCTTAGTGGACATCAGCCCTCCATTTCTCTGAATGAACAGTTTTGAACCAAGATTTCTTCTACATCTGTTTTATTTATTTGGTATCTGTCACTCAAACAATATTTTGGCATTCTGGTTTTGAAGCAAACATCCTTTTGCTCCTGCTCCAACCACCAAATCAATGCCACTGTGTTAAACACATTTGTTTCATTTGAATGCAAATGACACATGAACCTACTTATTTTCCGCTTTGTTTCAGAAATATTCTTTCAAGGAGGAATCAACAATTTTCTCTGAATGAAGGAAAGAGCTGGATACATCCCTTTTCCCCTTTACCTTCATCCATATTTTGCACCTAAACAAAGTGGCCTAATTTTTGAGATGCTGAGTAGTGGAAATTCCACTGGCTCCCACAGAAATCAATGAGAGTTACATATCAGGCTACTTAGGGATCCAATATGAAAATATTGGCCTAAGTAACTTGTTCAAGATCAAGAATCAATGACACATCATGTAAACACTCAGGAATTCTGTCCACTGTAACCCCCATAGTAATCTTCAATCAACATTATAATATAGAAAATCAAAAAGAGTCATACAAAAAGTGAAAAATAGGTCAAATGATAAAGGATAAATATAAAAAAAAAATCAAGACAAGCATGTAGGGACAAAATTAGAAAGGCCAAGGCACAAAATGAGATTAAAGGGTAACAATAAAACATTTTGCAAATACATTAGAAGCAAGAGGAAGACCAAGAACAGGGTAAGCTCATTACTCAATGAGGAGGGAAAGACAATAACAGAAAATACAGCAATGACTAAAGTGTTAAATGCCTTTTTTGTTTCAGTTTTTACCAAAAACGGATCCGATGACTAATATAGTGAACATTAGTATAAATGGGGTAGGATCTTAGGCTAAAATAGGGCAAGAACAAGTTAAAAATTACTTAGGCAAGTTAGATGTCTTCAAGTCACCAGGGCCTGGTGAAATACATCCTAGAACACTTAATGAACTAGCTGAAGAGATCTGAGCCATTAGCAATTATTGTTGAGAACTTGTGGAAGACAGGAGAGATCTCAGAGGACTAGAAAAAGGCAAATATAGTACCTATCTATAAAAAGAGGAATAAGGACAACCCTGGGAATTATAAACCAGTCAGCTTAAGTTCAGTTCCCGGAGAGCTAACAGAGAAAATAATTAAACAATAAATGTGTAAGCACCTGGAAGATAATAAGGTGAAAAGTAACAGTCAGTATGGATTTGTCAAGAACAAATCATGTCAAACCAACTTAATATCCTCCTTTGACATGGTAATAAGTCTTGTGGATGCGGATAAGCAGTAGATATAGCTTGACTTTAGTAAGGCCTTTGATAGTGTCTCACATGACATTTTCAAAAATAAACTAGGGAAATACAGTCTAGATGAACCTACTATTAGGAGAGTACACAACTGATTGGAAAACCATAGTCAGAGTGTAGTTATCAATGGTTCACAGTCAAACTGGAAGGGCATATCGAGTGGGGCCCTGCAGGGATCGGTCCTTGGTCCAGTCCTATTCAATATCTTCATAAATGATTTGGATAATGACATAGAGAGTATACTTATAAAGTTTGTGGGCAAAACCAAGCTGGGAGGGGTTGCAAGTGCTTTGGAGGGTATGATTCGAATGCAAAGTGATCTTGACAAACTGGAGAAAAGGTCTGAAATAAACAGGATGAAATTCAATAAGGACAAATGCAAAGTACTCCACTTAGGAAGGAATAATCAACTGCACAAATTCAAAATGGGAAATGATTAATAGGAATTAAATGATCTGAGGTTACAATGGATCAGACACTAAATATGAGTCAACAATGTAATACCATTGTAAAAAAAAAAGTGAACATAATTCTTGGATGTATTGGGAGGAGTGTTGTAAGCAAGACATGAGAAGTAATACTTCCACTCTACTCAGCACTGATAACGCCTCAGCTGGAGTACTGTGTCCAGTGCTAGCACCCATACTTCAGGAAAGATGTAGACAATCTGGAGAAAATCCAGAGGAGAGCCACAAAAAGGATTAAAAGTCTAGAAAACATGACCTGTGAGGAAAGGCTGAAAAAATTGGGTTTGTGTAGTCTTCAGAAAAGAAGACTGAAGAGGGGAACACAATAAAAGTTTTCAAGTACATAAAAGAGGAGGGTGATACATTGTTTTCCTTATTCACTAAGGACAGGACAAGTAGTAATGGGTTCAAATTGCAGCAAGGGAGATGTGGTTAGCCATTAGGAAAAATGTCTTAGCTGTAAAGGTAGTTACACTGGAACAAATTACCTAGGGAGGTTGTGGAACATCTGTGCAGTTTTTAAGAACAGCTTAGACAAAGGCCTGTCAGGGATGGTCTAGGACGGTGATCCTTAGACCTGCCTCAGTGCAGGGGACTGGGGTAGCTGAACTATCGACGTCCCTTCCAGTCCTACATTTGCATGATTCTATGATTTCAAGTTCTGTACAATGTAGTCCTGCTCAAACCAGAGTTGTGCAAACAGGAAGTTGGTCCTTAAGGAGTGCCTGAAGAGTCATTCCCATTGGGTTTGAATGCAGCAAAAATCCTGGGTCTCCAAGATCTAGAGGAACCCTGACAGAGGAAGCTCACTCATACTGTGGCTGCAGACTTTATCCCAACTCTGCATCTCCTGCCTACCACTCAGTTCCAGATCAGTTCCTCAGACATCAACTCCCCTCCTGGGCAGTGATTGGCTCAAAGGCAAAGGAATTGGAGATTGTGTGGGGCTGTGGAAATTCCTCTCCTTTGAAGTTGACAGTGCACCACAGCACTGCCCCCCATTCAAAAGTACTAGCCCCCATATTCTCCAGCCCACCAATCCATCCTACAATCTCCTCATCCTGCAGCAGCACCTTGCCCACCATCTAGGAGCATCAGCCTTTCTATGCCACAAATCCCTGATCCAAGAGTATGAAATTAAAATGCTCAAACTGCTAACATAAATATTGTGCAAAAATTCTGTTTATAACATTCACAAAATTTCCATAAACATTTTTTCCGCTAAACATGCTAAAACAATTCACATTTTTGTATCCTGATACAGTAGCAACACATGAAAATATTTCTGCATTGTTCTCCGTTTTTATTTTAAACTGCACTATGGGGCTAATTTTATACCCAGACTCTGCATCACTGATTTCTTCTCCACTGGGAAATCAAGCTGCAAAGCCCTGGATATCTGCTACCACTCAGCAGAGGGGTAATGCTCATCTCAGAAGAAGGGGTATAAATATTAACCATTCCCAACCATAGCCATGTGTACTGAAAATACATTTTCAAAATGGGAGGCATGAGCTATGTGCACAA